AAGCAAGCTATTACAGTAAGTATTTAGGATCATCGGCATATGTACCATGGGATCCTTCATTAACCCTGGCAAGTCATTGATATATAAACTAAATAATAATGGGGCCAGGATACACCCTTGCCTTATCCCTTTATTTGTGTGAATCCTGTTAGTCAGAGCCCCATTAACCCCATACCGCACCCTCAAACAGGTACTTGTGGCTTTACCAAGTAGAGAAAGGGCAATAGTAAGTATTGTACTATAGCAGTGATGGCGAACCTTTTGGAGACCGAATGCCCAAACTGCAACCCAAAACCCACTTATGCATCGGTGGGTGCCGGGTGGGTGTGGCCCATTGGCTGGGTGTGGCCATTTGGGTGGGCATGGCCCATTGGGTGGGTATGGCTGCGGTGGTAAAGGCAGACTGGATGGGACTAAAAAGTTCAATCAATCAATTCCAACTTTGCAAGATCTTTTTTTTCCTGCGAGAAGTTGAAATTGATTGATTGATTGATTGAACCTTTTTTTTTTTTTGCACACAGTGGCGGAGGCCTAAAGCGAAAAGGTTCTATAAAACCCAGCTGAAGGCCTAGGACTGGGGCAACGGCGCGCGTGCCCACAGAGAGGGCTCTGAGTGCCGCCTCTGGCACCTGTGCCATAGGTTCGCCACCACTGTACTATAGTTTTAATTTTTAATTATAACTAAGAAACCAAAGGAAGGCTGTATTATAGGAAGTGCCAGATTTGTATAGAGGAGAAATATTTAGCCTGCTACATGCCACAGTCTTAATTATGCAGCAAAATCCAGTTGAGAGTCTTCTTGTCAAGTTACGACGCAATAACATTTCACTGCATTTCATTACGTGTAACACTAAATATGTTTTTTCTTAATTCCAGTATGCAAATACGCTTGCCACCGAAAGTGCTGCCAGAGGACCACAACAAAATGCTCCAAAAAGGTACTGTGTTTTCTCTCATTTCTGTATGCCACACATATACAGGGGAATTCTGGGAGCTGAAGTCCATACATCTTAAAGTTGTCAAGGTTGAAAAACACCGGTCTAGCTGCTGATTCTTAATTCATATTTCTACTGCGACACGTTCTGTAAAACAGAAGCAAGGCAGTCAAAAAACTGTGGGGAGATGGCAGAGTTAAAAGCTTGTTTTCTGCTGCCACTTTGCCTGCTCCCCCACTGCTCTGGATTGAGATTATGACTAAAATGCTAATCCCGTGTAGGGCTCAGCAGACAGCAAGGATTGGGGAAAGCATGTTGAGATGTTTCCATTACTCTAATACAGTGATGGCGAACCTTTTAGAGACCGAGTGCCCAAACCGCAACCCAAAACCCATTTATTTATCGCAGAGTGCCAGGGCTGTATCAGCGTTGTGGTGCCCTCGGGGGGGGGGGCAGGGAGGTGCCTCTGAGTGCCGCCTCTGGCACGCAAAAACTGGGGGCACAAAAATGGGCCACCGTGCTGCAAGGCGCAAAAACGACTGCTGCCGCACCACAGGGTGCAGATACAAGGTGCTGCATCACGCAGGAACGGGGCAGGGCTAGTGAGTATCACGCAGGCACTAGCCTCACCCCATTTGCAGTGCAAAATGCTTTCGCCTCCCTTTTCTTCAAGTCCAACAATGGTTGGTGACCTCTGCTCTACCACCTCTACTTGAGCTTGCTAGTTGGCCGCTTCGCCTCCTTTGTGCTGGGTGGGGCTCCTACTCCGGGCGGCGATGGCAGCCTGATGGACCTGCTGCTGGCGGTGGTGCGCATGCCAACAGAGAGGGCTCTGAGTGCCACCTCTGCCACGCGTGCCATAGGTTAGCCACCACTGCTCTAATCCTTGCTTTATGTTTTGCCTACCTTGCAATCTTAAAGCGGGGCTGTTCTGATCCTTGCATTTTAGCAGCTTTAGACTCATGCGAATATTGCTGGAATTTGGCCAGTGTGGCTGTGATGTGCTTGCAACACTGAATGCATTATCCCTGTCCCTGTAGTATGACCCAGAGCTTTCTTCACGGCAATTTGGAGTCGAACTCTCTCGCCTGACCAGCGAAGAACGAATTGTGCCGATCGTGTTTGAGAAGCTCACCAGCTACATAGAAATGCATGCTTTGTATACAGAGGGCATTTACCGGAAATCTGGATCAACAAATAAGATCAAAGAATTACGGCAGGGCCTTGACACAGGTGAGGAGACTTATTGTGTTTTTCCCCCCTGGTATTTGGGTCACACAGGTCCCCCAAAATGACCAGGCATTTGGCCTGACACAGTTTATTTTAGACATGCTAGAATTTTAGGCAGATGATGGCCAGAAAGTTTAGTAACAGTATTCAGTTTGATTTAGCTCGGGGGTTTAGACAGTGCTGAAGCAGGACTCATGCAGTACCTATGGTTAATTCTATGTTAGGCTAAAGCTAATCTGTAGCTTTGGTTCATGTATGATTTGTGTTTGAGAGTCGGTTTGGTGTAGTGATTAAAATGATGGACTCGTTCTCCCTTAGGTATGAAAGCTGGTATAAACCTATATCTTAAATTCAGAATTTTTGACTTTGTCCTTTTCAGTCAGTTATACTATTTGTTAAGGAACCTAGGCCATCGCATCTCATCACACTTTGTGTTGGAGGCACCAAGGCGCTTCTGGGTTGAAAGGATTAGTCAGTGACATCACCATGGCCCTGGATATGCTCAGATGGGGGCTCCTTTCAAGTCCCTGACAGGAGCTGGAGCGAAGGATGTGAGCTCACCCCCCCCCCACCATGGTAGCGCTCCGATTTCGAATGCAGGCCTTCTGCTTGTCAAGCCAGCATCCTAACCACACAAGCCACCATGATCCTATACCTTGGCCATGACTTAATTCTTAACGTTGGCACCAATGTGTCAGATTGCATGCTGATGCATCCTTTTGCTGTTTCTCCTTTGCTTTTAATTTTCTTCACTTTCATTCTTTCCGCTAACTAGATATCGAAAGAGTGAACCTCGATGACTACAACATCCATGTCATTGCCAGTGTGTTCAAGCAATGGCTGAGGGATTTGCCTAATCCTCTCATGACATTTGAACTCTATGAAGAATTCTTGCGAGCCATGGGTAAGGAGTTGTCACATCTAGTTGAAATAGGACTTTGGGGAATATTAAAACCGAAGCTAAGAGGAAAAGCAAGTTCTGTTTCTGCTTGGAAAATTGTGCTCTCCACTAGTTCACTATCTCTTCAGCTTGCTTTTCCTTATCCCGGAGAATATTTCTACACAAAATACCTGTGAAAATTCTTTTCTAAAACAGCGATGATACTTTTTCTAGGGATCTGCCCTGAGGTATCCCACTGTGATGCAATGTATCCCCTTGACGAGATCCCAAACCAGACCAATAATTCCACTTCCATACTCTGCCCTCTTTCTCTGCATTTCAGACATTATATCCTGATTTTTCACCTAAATATTTCAAACCCCTCAGATACATGGAAATGATCTTCTGCCTTGAGTTGCAGTAGGATTTCCTAGTGCATTCTTCTTTTAAGAACACCACTTGAATTGCAAAGGTATTTTGAGCATCTGGCTCATCGCTCAGAGATTCCCTTTCCGGAGTATTCATTAAATCCTGAGCAGTAGTGGACTTGCAAGATACATGTGTTTAGATGTGTATATCATATTTTGTAAGCTTCACTTGATGTTAAAAATACTCATTCCTGAGACAGAGCAGGCCACAGTCCTGGAGAATTGAATGACATGTTGTAGGATACAATCTGGGTCGGTCACCGGGACCGGAGGTTTAAACCTAAAAATTAGATCCTGCAATATTATCGTGGGAAACGTATATTCGCCTTCATTTGTGAATGATGTTTGTTTTCTGCAGGTCTGCAGGAGAGGAAAGAGGCGATCCGCGGGGTCTACTCAGTCATTGATCAGCTTTCCCGAACCCATCTTAATACCTTGGAACGTCTGATCTTTCACCTTGTCAGGTATCAATAGCCAGGATAAGGTTATAAAGAGATTTCCTTGTGAATGTCAGCTTTATCTGCAGATATATTCCCACGTTCAGCTTTTGGTGAGACCTGCAATCTTGAAAGGTGGTTCTGTTTTCAGAGCTGTGTGCCGAGACAGGCTTATTTGCAGAGAGCTTTGGAAAGCTAAGCTCTGCCTATCGTCATCTCCCTTTCAGTCATGCTTATTATAATCCCCCAGGAAAGTCAGTCATTATTCTGGGTGGGAAAAAAAGCTTTTCTCGAGGCATACATATCAAACCCAAAGGCCTTTTTAACCCCCTGATCAAGTTGGAGGGCAGAAGGAACAGTTAAAAATCTTCATGTTGAGACTCTAGAAAGAGTACAGAGAAGAACAACAAAGATGATTAGGGGACTGGAGGCTAAAACGTATGAGGAATGGTTGCTGGAATTGGGTATGTCTAGTTTAATGAAGAGAAGGACGAGGGGTGACATGATAGCAGACTTCCAATATCTCAGGGGCTGCCCCAAAGAAGAGGGAGTCAAGCTGTTCTCCAAAGCGCCTGAAGGCAGGACAAGAAGCAACGGATGGAAACTAATCAAGGAGAGAAGCAACCTAGAACTAAGGAGGAATTTCTTGACTTAGAACAATTAATCAGTGGAACAACCTGCCTCCAGAAGTTGTAGGTGCTCCATTACTGGAGGTTTTTATGAAGGAACTGGACAGCCATTTGCCTGAAATGGTATAGGGTTTCCTGCCTGAGCAGGGGGTTGGACTAGATGACCTCTTCCAATTTTATTATTATTCTTGTTGTGGTTGTCCCCAGCATCGTCCATAGCCTCACTCTGCCTGTTGATGTCCACCCTGTTTCTTTTCTTTGACCCCTGTGTCAATTCTTAGGTTCCACTCTAGGGGTTTGTCCCACCTCGCAACAAGTGAGGGTTGCCACAAGTGTCTGTAGTTAAAGTTTCATTGCCCTTCTGTTTTGATGCTGTTTAGGATAGCTCTACAAGAAGACACTAATCGGATGTCAGCTAATGCTCTGGCCATTGTGTTTGCTCCCTGTATCCTCCGTTGTCCGGACACCACTGACCCTCTGCAGAGCGCTCAGGATGTCAGTAAAACCATCAGGTAATTTAAAAATAAATAAAATAATAAACGACTTGCTGCCTGCCGTGACTGGTTCAACTCCACTGAGGTCACTCCCGTAGTTTGGGGAGGAACGTTTTACAAAAATGAAAATTCCAGAAGAAAAAGTGGCATGCACAGATTGATTCTAGAAAGAAAGATCTTTGCATTCATGTCTAGGTTGTCTACAGCAATGTTTATTTATTTGCCGCCCATCTTACCATATAGTGGTGGCGAACCTATGGCACGGGTGCCAGAGGCGGCACTCGGAGCTCTCTCTGTGGGCACACGCACCGTCGCCCCAGCTCCGCCTCCTCCCACGGCCCCCTCCTCGCCAGCAGCCCCCCCAGAGGAGAGTCACCCCCGGGCGCGGCCCAGGCAAAGCAGCACAGCCAAGGACACGGTAGCCAGGCAGTGGGGACAAGACTTCGCCCTTGCGCTCCATCGCACGCAAATGATGCTGCGGGGCACGGGCGGAGGGCGTGGCCACCATGGTGCTGCTGGGCTGCCTGGGTGATCTGTGGCAGGCCGTGGAGGTGGTGGGTGGCCCAGTGGGCAGGGCGGAGTGGGGACTGGTGGGGGGGCGGTTTTGGGGCAATCGATCTCCAAAAGGTTTGCCACCACTGCCATAGGGTAACTCTGGGCAGCTCACAGTTACATCTAAGTTAAAATATAAAATGTTAAAACCAAACCTTAAAACCAAAGACATGTGGGGAGGGTGGAGACGGGTGGGGGGGGGAGGTGGGATCTGTTATTACTCAATCAACCACCTCCATTGCGCTTTTCCCCCACTGTGGTCCCAAGCCGATTGGCACAGCCAGGTCTTTGGGCCCTTACAAAAGGATAGGAGGGTTGGGGCCAACCTCACATGGGGGGGGGAAGATGTTCCAGAGGGCAGGAGCCACAGCAGAGAAGGCCTTGCTCCTGCACCCTGCCAGTCAGAATAATTGGGCTGATGGGTCCCACAAGCAGGCCTCCTCTGCCGACACCAGTGGGACAGGCCAATCCCAGTGGGGTGAGACGGTCCCTCAAGTAACCTGGACCCGTGCCCACGAAAGGCTTTAAAGGTGATCCCCAACACCTTGAATTGCACCCGGAAGCAGACTGGTAAACAGTGCAGTGGTGCCACAGGGGCCATTCTTGGGGGGGGGCTTAAAACTACCCGCGCTGCCCCACTCTGCCCCAGCTGCAGCTTCCAAATGCTCTTCGTCGCTTAGATTCTGGTCCTCAAGCCATAACTTTCCCTCTTGACGATTTTTCTCTTTCAGTTGCGTAGAGTTGGTTGTTATAGAACAGATGAACAAATACCGGGCCCGTCTCAAGGATATCAGCAGCCTTGAGTTTGCAGAGAACAAAGCAAAGAGCCGGCTATCCTTGATCCGCAGGTCCATGGTAAGGGGCAGGACTTGACCGACCAGCTGGCCGAGTGCCAGATCACAAAGAAGTGGAGACTCCGTCCTCTGACCATCCCCGTTTTCTATTTCACGTTAATTGTTCAGAGAAATATTGGGAGGAAGATCAGCTGCCTTTGTCTCTCCTGATGCCGTCCTAGCTTAACAGCCTCGATTCTGGAACTGTGAATCTCCTGTGTGAGATTTAACTGACTTGGGTGTGGATAATAACAGAAAAACAGCTGTCTTTCTCTCTCTCTTCTCTTCCCTGTAACCTTTCCTTCCCGTCTTTCTGACTCCTTGCACATCTCAGGTTCTTTTAATATGTGATTTAGTCTAATGCAGGAGTTAAAAGTGTGGCTTTTAAGCACTAATGTCTGAGTCTTCAAAGGTACAGGTATCACTCTGTTGTTACTTTGAACAGGTAACTCATGGTTCTTGAGAGAGCTTTTTTTTTTAATTTCCCAAATATCTTTGGTGAACTCAAACCACTCTAGCTTGTCTGCAATTGGCTTTTCTCCACGATTAGTCCCTGTTCCCCTAACGCTCACAGTATTCTCATCGGAGACTGCTTTAAGAAAAGGCTTCCATTCTCCTCTCTTCCACACGGCACCTGCCAGTGGGAGACTCTGGGGTGACAGTATGGTGTGCAGGCTGCACCCTGACCCCCCCCCCCCTGTTGAGCTCTTTGTAATAAATCACTTCGTCTCCCCGCTTATGAATTGTATCAGGCGCAGAACAATTTGCATGCTTCTTAGCTAGGCTGCTGACGTGAAACGCAGTTGCTCTGCTCAGAAACGGCTTCAGGCCGGCGGGGTCCGTGGAGATTGGGGCTTGGTTGACCTCGTGGCGGGAGGTCAAGGGGAGCATTGCTGAAAGCTGGCTGAGGCTGTGGGGCCTACTGGGCCTACCCTCTCTTGGGGAGTCCCGTCTATCGCTGCAGCCAATGCTTCTCCACCTCTCTTGCAGCACAGAATGGCTTGTAGCTCCTTTGCGCTTTCTAGCAGCTGCGGCCCAGAGCCAGCTTCCCCCGCCATGCCCAGCCACTCCCGGAGTCAGCTGATGGCGGGTGCACTCTAACCTGCTCCTTTCCTTTCCTTTCCTTTTCCTGTCCTCTCTAATCCAGAAGCCTGTACTAATTGCCGTTAGATTTATGAGCATAACCCGCAGTTCGATCCCGGTATGTATCCGAATGGCAACGCGCCGACCTTACGCCATAACTCTCCATTCATCCCAGTGCTTCTGCATGCTCCATGGCCACCCGCCCATATTTCATAACGCTGTGTGTGTGGTATGTGCGTGCGTGTTTTATTTCCAACTCTTTGGCTGCCGTCCACTTCTCGCCACCACAAAAGGCATCAAAAGGGAATGCCTACAAGGCCATTTTCACCTAGACAGATTAGGAGGAAGACAAGTAACCCTTAATATAGAAGAGAATCAGTTTTTACGTGGATTTCCGTAATATTTGGCACAGAAAATGTCTTTGCTGTATTGTTTCCCCCCCCCCCCCCGCTAAAGTAAAGCAGAGAGTGAGGTAGAGTCTTACAGAAACTGAAAAGCTAATGGGAATTTGGCACGAACGTGTTCACTTGAATTCTTCTGTTGACCTCCTTTTTTATTTTCCTCAAATTCTTTTATCTATATCTTCATTCTTTCCTCTGGCCTAGACCAATTTCACATATTAAGACCACAGACAATCTCTTGAAGCACAACAGGAATTCAATATATGTTGTTGTTTTTTTCCCCTTTCTAACCTTTCCAATTTTCAGCAAACAAACACGTCATCTTCCAGGACTGCCTTTGCTCGAATTTTCAAAACAAAGAATAGAAGAAAGATTCCTTTTTAGAGTCAGACAGCATAGAAGTCCGGCCTAATGTTAACATTAAAGCAACTTTGCTAATATCTAATCAGAGCCTCAAGTTCTAAGAGGAAAATCTGAATATGACTTTAGCTGTGATTAAAACAAAAAACAAAAAAAACTTCAATCCCAAAACATATGATTTAGCTAGAAAGGGAAACCTCAAAATTGATTTAACAATTCCTGGAGTCATTTACATCAGGGGTCTCCAACCTTGGCAACTTCACAACATGTGGACTTCAACTCCCAGAGGAAGTTGGGATTCTGAGGAATTCCATGCTGCCTGAGGAATTCTGGGAATTGAAGTCCACCAGTCATAAATTTGCCAAGGTTGGAAACCCCTGATTTATATAACATGATGCTGCTGAAAGTATGAAGTGGTTAAAAGTTTTGATTTTTATTTTTTTTTACAATATACCCCAGGACAGATGTATGAATCATTGGCTTTTGAGAAGCTGGATGAACCTAAAGAGCGTTTATATATTTCTTGGCTCTGGGTCCAGAGAAATACATTCTCCTTCTCATATTCACAGTGATCCACTTCTGCTAGTTTATTCACAGAATTTCATTGGAAAATATAAACAGCAGGATTATCTGTGTTTTGTTGATGGCTTTCTTTGTTCCCATTTTTTTTCCTGCCTAGAGGGATTAATAATGATAAAGTTGGAAGGGACCTCGGAGGTCATCTAGTCCAACCTCCTGCTCAGGCAGGAAACCCTATACCATTTCGGACAAATGGCTGTCCAGTTTCTTCTTAAAAACTTCCAGTGTTGGCGCGTTCACCGCTTCTGGAGGCAGGTTGTTGCACTGGTTAATTGTTCTAACTGTCAGGAAGTTTCTCCTTAGTTCTAGGTACATTTCAGCATTTCCAATGTCCTAGAAGGGAGTAATCTAAAAAATGGTATAAACAAGGTTTGTTGTTTTTTTTAGAATACTTTAATCCAGTTTCCTTCCTTGCACCACTTTTTGGTGCTGGCAACCTGAAATATTCTGTTATAAGTGAATCCATAGAAATTAACCTCTGGCTTATAGATCAAAGATATTTTTGAGGACCTCCCCAAATAGTCCCCATGTCCTTGAATTTATACTTGCTTTCCATCCTATCTGTCTCTGCTGGGCATCTGAAGAAATTGTTTGTTTGGTGGTTGTCTCATACATATACTGGGGATGTGTTTTTCTAATTTCAACGCTGATGGAAAGGCACCGTTCCTCATTAGCCTTAATTTATGCATAGGGCAAAGGGCGTCTACGCCGAGGCAACTATCCAAGCCCTACATCACCAGCAGGAGTCCGGTTGCCCTCTATGGCGGATGCTCCCGAAGAGGCCCTGAGCAGCGAGGAGGCCATGGAGATAGAGGTCACCGAACAGCAGCAAGTAGCCATGCAACAGGAAGAGAAGGTGCTGGCAGAGCAAATAGAGAGCTTGCAGAAAGAGAAGTGAGTCTGAGTAGCTGGACCAATGAAACTCAAGCAATGAAGCCTAAGTACCTGGACCAGTGACGTGGGGGTGTCCATCTGCTATAATTCAGGAAATGCTTAACCCGTAGGTGTCAAGCTAGGGTGCAGATTGAATATTGCGGACACAACCTTAATATTAATAAAGGAGACTATTTGTAGCTCAGGGTGAAGATGAGGGGTCTTTAGTGCTCTCTGAGCTTGGTTGTTTTCTTGCAGACGTTTCATGTCCCAAACTAGGTAGCATCATCAGGACTAGAGTTTGTGGAGAAGAGGAGGAGGAGGAGGAGGACTGGAGGAGGAGGAGGAGGAGGACTGGAGGAAGAGGAGGAGGAGGACAACTGTAGAGTCCTTGGTGCTCTCTGAGCTTGGTTGTTTTCTTGCAGTTGTTTCATGTCCCAAACTAGGCAAGGTGGAGACTAGCGCTGATGATGTTACTTAGTTTGGGTAATGAAACGTCTGCAAGAAAACAACCCAGCTCAGGGAGGACCAAGGACCCCTCATGAGCTTAATAGCCCCTTATTTCCTAACTTCTGCTGCTGCTTCCCCCCCCCCCCTATCCAGTTCTTTCCATTTATTTTCCATTTTATCCCTGCAGGGAAGAACTAACTTTTGAGATGCTGGCACTGGAGCCTAGAGCCTCTGATGACGAAACGTTGGAGTCTGAAGCTTCAATCGGCACTGCCGACAGTTCTGAAAACCTGAATTTTGATTCCGAAGGAGCCATTTCGGACAAGTCAGGTAAATAAAATTGGTTGGGGAAGGTGTCGTAAAGGAACCCTCATTAAGCACATGACGTTTACTATTCAGTAGTGGAGGTTTAATAGTAATCAGTTAAAACGTTGCACTGGTTTGATCAAATACGAACCAACTGAGGAGGGCAAGCTATATTCTGAAAACCCTTGTTGGAAATGTCCCCTCTAGGCCAGTGATGGCGAACCTTTTAGAGACCGAGTGCCCCAAAACCGCCCTGCTCTGCCCCATCCCTACCCGCCCGCAGGACCACCCACTGCCTCCACGGCCCGCTGCAGGAGATCACCCAAGCGGCCCTACAGCGTCATGGCCACGCCCTCCGCCTGCACCCTGCAGCATCATCTGTGTGTGATGGGGCGTGAGGGCGGAGTCTTGTCCCTGCTGCCCGCTGCCATGTTCTGCCCGCTGCACTGCTCTGCGCGGGCCGCGCCCGGGAGCAACTCTCCTCCAGGGGTGCTGCTGGTGAGGAGGGGTCCACGGGGGGAGGCGGGGCTGGAGCAACAGCACATGTGCCCACAGAGAGGGCTCTGAGTGCCATCTCTGGCACTGTGCCATAGGTTCGCCACCCCTGCTCTAGGCAGTCTGTAAATAAGCCACAATGTTTGATTCCGTGGACGGGAATCAGGAGAGCGTCTTTGGACTTTCCCAGGGAATGTTGTCTCTTTGTCAGAGCATTCCTAGTGCTGCTTCTTGAGCAACTCTTAACATCTCTTCCCTACCAGGCAGAAGTGTAACCTTCAACTCGGCAAGATCCATCAAGGCAGACCCGACCGGCACCTCTAGGTCTCGAAGGCAACTGCGCAAGCAGCAGGAGTCTTTGGACTCCGTGGATTCCTCGCTTCCTTCTCCGTCCCTGTCGCCTTCTCCCTCCTCCTCCTCCTCCTCCTGCCTGCCTCACGTGACGAGGAAACGATTCCAAATCTATTCCAAATCGCCTTTTTATCGAGCAGCTCCCTCTGGGGACGCTGGG